ATGCTCTTCCCCAAATATGGAATTCTATTTAGGAAATACTCATTTCCCATTTGTTTATTTCTCTTTAAGTGACTGTATACTCCATTCCTACTTGTTCTATTTCCTTCCCTTCATTTAAAGTCAGGCTCAGAAACTCTCTTCCCCTTCTCTGATTACCCTCCCTTCTCATGAGTCTTTCATTGTCTTTTGCTCTATCTTCATGTCCTCTCTCTGCTGTGTAGAATCTTAATAAGGGCTGGACTCAGGGAATCCAACGGATCTGAAGTCTATTATGCTACTTATCTATTGTGTTAGCTGGGGCACATACATCCTGTACTGAGGCTTTTCTGATTTGTTTAGGCAGTGCGGAGGATGATAATCCTAGCTAGCCCCTAAATTTGCTGTGATGCAAGGACCTGGGGTAGTAGGTAGCAGGTAACATGCTAGCTAATACGATACATTTCTTCATAGCTAGCAGAACGTTCCCTACATCCCGTACAGTGCTTGCAGAGACACCAAATACTCAGTGAATGTCCACACTGACAATTCACTAGAGCAGTTTGAGATAACACAGGCCAAACTCTGTGGCTTTAATTTGACATATTCTGTTAGGATTAATAGTTTCCTATTTGCCAGAGGATGAGTCTATGCTCGTGTCAGATGTTTGCAGTTGTTAGACTGAGTAGACTCCGCTGAAGGAGACTTGAGACTCATGTGAGTGCAGGAAGGCAATGAAGGGAGAGTGTGAAGATGAGGTGGACTCTCAGAGACTCACATACACAGAGTCATTTTGACTCATCTGAACAGGCCTCGGTGGGTTTTTGCGGAAAGAAGACCCAAGTAGAATGGACAAGAATGTCTTTTCCTGTTGTATTTGCCTCATGACTCTGCTGGACCTAAGTCAGATTCTGTTCCTTGAAATAACAGTAACAGAGCTTCTGAGCCAAAACCAGGGCTGTCTAAGGACTTCTCTATTTGGGGATAGATTTGGATGAGGACACGTGGCCTCTCAGTGTTTCCCCACCTCAGAAGAGCTATAGAAGACCAAAATGAGATGACCTACCAGAATTGGGAATGCCAGGTTGTCTTTATAACACACAACCATGAGGCAAACTCCAAAGAGCTCTCCTGGCTTTGCAGAATGTGGGGTTGTGCACTGGTTTTGCTGGCAAGTGCTGGAGCCCCACCAAAAGGCCCTGTCTCTGAAAGAACAGCTTTTCACAGTTTTCTGGCCGGAGTCTAAGGAAGAAGAGAGAGTACTAGTAGTAGTAGTTGTTCTTTAATCCGCTGAAACTTCTTCTTCCTTTTTTTTTTTTTTTTTTTTTACAGATTTTATTTATATTTTGATAGAGGGAGAGAGACAGCGAGAGAGGGAACACAAGCAGGGGGACGGGGAGAGGGAGAAGCAGGCTTCCCTCGGAGCAGGGAGCCCGATGCGGGGCTCGATCCCAGGACCCCGAGATCATGACCTGAGCTGAAGGCAGTTACTTAACGACTGAGCCACCCAGGTGCCAGAGACTCATCTTAATTCCTGATGACTTGTATTTTCCTAAAGATTTCCTCAAATCAATGTCGTAAGCATCATAAAACCAAGAAATGTCAGAAATATGGAGGGATTGATGATACGTGTCTACAGGTTCTGAATCGAAAGTCTACCTTCCAAGGTGGACTGCTGACAGCTGTTATTAGCTAGGCTCAAAACATACTAGCTTTAGTCTCAGGGGCACTTCTCCTAGTCCTATTAATGGCTTTTTTTGGATTACATCCATCATCTTATTTATTCTACACAACAATTCTAAGATTTAGACATTATTTTTATCCATATTTAGAGATGAATTAACTGATGCTGAGCTGGTATAACTGGGCAAAGATAATATAGCTGGTAAATGCGGGCACAGGAATTTACACTCTGGAGAGGTAGTTTGACATCAAGTCAAGTCCTTTTTTCTCAATGATGCCAGTTCTTTTCAACCCATTTTAAAGCCACTGGAATCCTGTGGTGCCTCAAGAGCCCCTGAGCCAAAAGAGGACGGAGGGGAAGAAAGGCCCCTTCTCTGGCTTCAACCAGAGCACTTCTAATATACATAAATATATATATTATGATAATATATTTATATAGTATAAGTATCTAATTATATATTATATATAACTACATACATATGTATGATGTGTTTTACATATATATATGTATATACAAATATATACATACATATACATACATCCTGTACTGAGGCTTTTCTGATTCGTTATTACATATATACATATATATACAAATATATATGTATATATATGTATAGCACCCTTTTAGAATTTTGTTAGAAAAAATTCCCAAACACTATGGCATACCATGATGAGTCCTAATGTCTTTATGATCTACCCTAGGAACTTCTTGAAGTCAGAGACTTCATCTTATCCTTTCTTTGGTCTCACAACAGTGTGGAACCTCCCTTGACCTGTGAGCCAGCCTTTGGAAGAAGGAGCACATGGAAATCATTGCCCTGGTGATGCTCTGGGCTCCAGAACAGCACTGTCTATGCATCTCCCATGACCCTTGGCAGCCTTGCTGTCTGCTTCTCACTAAAGCCAATTAAATTATTCCCGGTAGCTGCAGTCTTCTCGCTCTTACCACGACTCATTGACTTCTCTCCCAAGAAGGAAGTGATGTCTTCTCCAAATATCCTGAGGCAATTTTCAAGGAGAAATTGTACAAGAGAAATCTGTAACACAAAAAGACAAAAATGGGGTGTTCTTTTCCATAGGCCATAGTTAGGAAACACATTTTGTATATAGACCTTGGATCTAAGAAAAAACGTGAAGGACTTATCAGAAAAATTCAGAGTTGATAAAAATACGTAGAAACCAGGGGCACCTGGGTAGCTCAGTCAGTTACGCATCTCCCTTCGGCTCAGCTTATGATCCCAGGGTGCTGGGATCAGCCCTATATCTGGCTCCCTGCTCAGCGGGAAGCCTGCTTCTTCCTCTCCCACTCTCCCTGCTTGAGTTCCCTCTCTGTCAAGTAAATAAATAAAATCTTAAAAAAAAAAACCAAAAAAAAAAATAGAGACCAGAGTTCTCTAGGAAATAACTTAGAATGACTGATGCTTTCCCGTGTACTTTGGGTACACATTTTGAAATACTGCTCATCAGTGGGCTAAAGTTTTAATGTGTGGCCTAGTTTCATAGCTAACATTTTGGGATCAGTGGTTACATCTTTAAGCCTAGGATAAATTTCGGGGCCCCTCAGTTGAGCGTCTGACTCTTGATTTCGGCTCAGATCACAATCTCATAGTGGTGAGATCCAGCCCCACATGGAGCCAACTTTCGGCTCTGGGCTCAGCAGGGAATTGGCTTGGTCTTCTCCCTCTCCCTCTTCTTCTGCCCCTGCCCCGCTCACGCTCTCTTTCCCTCTCTCCAAAAAATAAATATCAAAAAATAAATAAAACTAGGATAATTTTCAAAGTAGCCTACCTTATTAAAGTTTACCTGTTTTTTGTTTTTAAATTTTGTTTCCAGTTTTATTGAGCTGTAACTGATGTATAACATCTTATGAAACTTTATAAAGTATGAACGAAAACATAAGAAAACCATTTCTTAAATGAAGAAGAATCTTAAAGTTGAGAAGCAGAGATTTTGGTGGGGTTGTGAGGGAAAACCCACACAGCTGGAGAGAAAATGTATCTGTCTGTCTAAATTCAGTACCTTCTCACGCATTGGTTTGCCTCATGCTGGCTCTCTCTGTGTGAGCTTGGGGAAGACCTGTCATCTTGCTAGGATGGTCTGGAATCTTTTGCTAGTTTCCATAAGATGTAGCAGAGGTGAAATAGTAGTTGAGTACTTTTCTAGATGAGCCACAATTCGCAGAGGAAGGCCAATGTGGTTGGAGCCATGGGGGCTCATATTGCCCAAGCCACCCAGGATGTGCCAGTGATGACCAGAGGAGCTGGCTGTTGTCGCCATTGTGTAGTGAGGAAACCTTGGCTTTGCCCAAGGTTACGAGTCCCTCAGGGATTAGGCTGAGAGTTGAACCTTGACTGGTGAAGCTCCAAAGCCCAGGTTCTTTCCTACCGTATCACATGACTCTTCTCTCTCTCGTTTAGTCAGTCTAGTGTTTAGTCTCCTGGAGGGGGAAGAAGTGACTCGACTGCTCCGAGTTTCCCGTTTAACGACACCCCTTCCCAGACCCCGCCAGAGTAGCCTAAAGAACTCTGCCACTCCACAGGGGCCTAATGAAAATGTGCACTTCACAAAGTTCCATCCGTCAGAGTTACTACTGCACATGTCCGGTTCAAAGTAGGGATTCTACCCCATGGGGGCAAAAATGAGAGCTCTCATTACCTTTTTTATCAAGTTGTCTTCCAATTCCAAGGTGCCGGAATCAGGTGGGTAAAGAACGCTTGGGGCTATACAAACGGATAAATTATAAGCTGTCATCTGATTGGATGAGGAATGTTGCTCAATGTTGTACAGCACTCCAAAAAGGTATCGCAAGAGAACAACATTTCCTCTTGGCAGCTGGGGTAAAAGCCTAAGGTCAGAAAAATACACATTTAAATTAGGCAAGTGATTCCACTTAGGTGGTTGAAAAAAAAGACAGGGAACAGGATACATCCTTGTATATCTAGCACACAACCCGCTGTAGCAGAGTTCCAGGCATGAATGTATACAAAATTGTTGCCCTGACTTCAGTTCCTGCGCCAGATAAAATCTTCTCTGGTTAGTTAAATGTTTGACAGACCTTTAAGGTCATAGCCCTGGCAATTGATGTTCTTGCATCTGTCTTGGACCAGGGGATTTCCCCTAACAGTTTCATGTATTCAAAAGATGTAAAACGGCCAAGGATTCCACATTAATAAGATCAGGAAAAGAACGATAATGGCCCTAAAGTGTGTCTCCATTATGAACCTGGCCCCTATGGGTGTGAAGAATTGAAACTCTTTGGCATTGGTCATGATTATAGTGAGCAAAGCTGCAAAACGTAAGCCAATGTTTTCCTAATAGTATGTTGGCTGTATTTTGGAGATGTGACCAGAGTAATTCTTGCATCATTACCTCTGGGCTGCAGTTATCTTCTCCTCTTCGTTGCCTTGATCAATAACACCGAGCCATTTGTCATAGTGATCAGATAAAAATATACTTCCGTGTATATTTCTAAGAAAATCCTTAGGGAGATAAAAAAAAAAAAAACTATGTATATATGTTATAGAAAATATGTAATGGAAATATTCCAGAGAAAATATGTAGTTAAAAAATTCAGTTCAGCCCCCACTTCCTTCACAGATACCCAAACTGTGACCCACACGGTGCTCGGCTCTGACTCTCCATTGACTTGCACACGCAGGAGCAGGTGCTTGGATTTTCTCCCACTAAAACTTAGAGGCATAAAGCAGAGCTTAGTCTGTGGTGGAAATGAAGATAAAGCTCCCTTCTATCATCTGGAACTTATTTTGTGTGTGTGCTTTTTTTGCAAAGTACCACAAACTGACAGGGTCTGGCTATAGACCATCCTAAATCCTATTAGCTTCCTGGACAGAAATACACATACTCATGTTGCTTGTTTTAGACACAGCGCCAGCTCTTAACTCTAGAAAGAAAAGGCCTGAAACAATCAAAACACAAACAGGTGGGCTCTTGCACACATATTAGGAAAGAACTAGGTCTTCTCACTCGGGGTATGTGTGCTCCCTGGAAGAAAGCTACTCTCACAATTGCTTCATTCTTCCTTTTCTTAACTGTCTAAAAGTCGAGAGTCTAATGGCAGACTCACTGTGGTCCTGAGGATAGATTCATTTCTAGTTTAGGCCAATTGTCCAGTTAGTTTGCCATGATATTATCAAGGCCAAGGTTGCAGAATCTCATTCTCCACCAAGATCCGTCAACTTCAAGAAGAGAAAAGTTTAGAAATGTCTAAGCACTCTCCCCACAAGTGCTCACCCTCTTCCTAGTCGGTGCTTATAACACGGAATCAGGAAAGAACCTCCTAACTCTTGCTAGAAAATGGATTCCATGTGTGCACCTTACAGAGGGCAACACTCATCTTGCTACCTGGTGTATCATCATTCTTCTCCTGTCTCCTGATGCCTATATGTATATTACTACTGGATATCACTATGGCCCCAGTGTAGGAGTGGTTACCTAAGTCATTTCTGGACTTTGCTATGGATCACATCTTCGAACATTAATGGGGGACAAGGGAAGACCAAATGTGACTGAGATTCTAAGACTGTAGTCAGTACTACATTAACATAGGTTTGTTCAGAGCTGTTCATAAGTGCCAAGCTGCATGGATTAAATTCTTTCCCTGTTCTATTTCTTCTTTTTTGTTTTTTTTCTTATTCATTTGAGACACAGAGATAGAGAGGGAGAGAGCATGAGGAGGGAGAGAGGCAGAGGGAGAGGGAGAAGCAGGCTCCCCGCTGAGCAGGAAGCCCGATACGGGGCTCGATCCCAGGACACTGGGATCATGACCTGAGCCGAAGGCAGACGCTTAACCATCTGAGCCACCCAGGCGCCCCTCCCTGTTCTATTTCTTTTGGAAAGTTTGCCTTCATTAGGAGGGTGGTGAGGATGTCTGCTTCGGTAAACAGTGTGTTTGTGTCAGTGCGTATTTTGAAATTTAGTATCATGACTGTAGTCATTTCAGTATTAGTATTTTGCATGGAGTCTTCAGGAGTGAAGGTGCGGAGGGCCGTGTGTGGTGAAAACAGAAAGTATTTCTAACACATGGGGCTTTTAACTCCTAAAGTAGCTTCCTTAAATTTTGATTTTGTCAAGCGTTTTTTAGCTTGTCAGGTTCTTAATCTACTATGCCCGTTATGGTTCTTGAGCAGTCATGATGAAGGACACCCATCATCGCTTCAGTTACTCACATGTGGATAATGCTAGAACCTTCCCTACCTTTAAGACGGATGCGAACACATGAATAGATTCCCTGTACGGGTTCACTTTGATCCCAGAATTTAGTTTCTCCGTTAGGACTCTGCGGGATTTTATATTGGCTGAGTTTCTGAATATGCCTTCTGCGAGTGGCCGTTTTTGATTAATAAAGGAAAGCATACCGTGTAGGAAGAAAAGAAAAGTATATGGCATCTCATATACCATGCCTGCCTCCGTTTTGAAAGAAAAGGGGAATGTAATGGTACAATGTTTTAGAGCGGGAAGGACTAAAGTCAATTTAGATTGCTGTTTTTTCAGTGTCTCTCTATATACTTTCTACCCATATATCCATTTTACAGTCATACACTGAAACATTTTCAACACTTCTTTTAATCAGATTTTCCACTAAGTTTACACTTTTAAATCAAACTTCTCTATCTCAAGGCCTTTGCGGAATCACCGTCTGTTTCCTACTTTCCCATTCTTTTCACATTTTTCCCTTACATACATGCTTTTCCGCAAGTATGGAAGTCTATTTAGGAAATACTCATTTCCAATTTGTTTATTTCTCTTTAAGTGACTGTATACTCCATTCCTACTTGTTCTATTTCCTTCCCTCTTGTAAAGTCAGGCTCAGAAACTCTCTTCCCCTTCTCTGATTACCCTCCCTTCTCATGAGTCTTTCATTGTCTTTTGCTCTATCTTCATGTCCTCTCCCTGCTGTGTAGAAACTTAATAAGGGCTGGACTCAGGGAATCCAACGGATCTGAAGTCTATTATGCTACTTATCTATTGTGTGAGCTGGGTCACACACATCCTGTACTGAGGCTTTTCTGATTCGTTTAGGCAGTGCAGAGGATGATAATCCTAGCTAGCCCCTAAATTTGCTGTGAAGCAAGGACCTGGGGTAGTAGCTAGCAGGTAACATGCTAGCTAAGATGATACATTTCTTCATAGCTAGCGGAACGTTCCCTACATCCCGTACAGTACTTGCAGAGACACCGAATACTCAGTGAAGGTCCACACTGACAATTCACTACAGCAGTTTGAGATAACACAGACCAAACTCTGTGGCTTTCATTTGACATATTCTGTTAGGATTAACAGATTCCTATTTGCCAGAGGATGAGTCTATGCTTGTGTCAGATGTTTACAATTGTTAGACTGAGTAGACTCCGCTGAAGGAGACTTGAGACTCATGTGAGTTCAGGAAGGCAATGAAGGGAGAGTGTGAAGATGAGGTGGACTCTCAGAGACTCACATACGCAGAGTCCATTTTGACTGATCTGAACAAGCCTCCGCATGTCTTTGTGGAAACAAGACCCAAGTGGAATGGAGAAGAATGACTTTTCCTGTTGTATTTGCCTCATGACTCTGCAGGACCGAAATCAGATTCTATTCTTTGAAATAACAGTAACAGAGCTTCTCAACCAAAGCCAGGGGCTGTCTAATGACATCTTCATTTGGGGATAGATTTGGATGAGGACGCTTGGCCTCTCAGAGTTTCCCCTTCTCAGGAGGGCTATTGAAGACCAAAATGAGATGACCTACCAGAATTGGGAAGGAGAAGTTGTCTTTATCACACACATCCATGAGGGGAACTCCAAAGAGCTGTCCTGGCTTTGCAGAAGGTGGGGCTGTGCACTGGTTGTGCTGGGAAGTGCTGGAACCCCGACAAAACGCCCTATCTCTGAAAGAACGGGTTTTCACAGTCTTCAGGCTGGAGTCTAAGGAAGAAGTGAGAGTACTCGTAGTAGTAGTTGTTGTTTAATATGTTGAACCTTCTTTTTCCCTTTTTTTTTTTTTTTTTTACAGATTTTATTTATTTTTTGACAGAGAGAGAGAGACAGCAAGAGAGGGAACACAAGTAGGGGGCGGGGGAGAGGGAGAAGCAGGCTTCCCTTGGAGCAGGGAGCCCGACTCGGGGCTCGGTACCAGGACCCCAGGATCATGACCTGAGCTGAAGGCAGATGTTTAACGACTGAGCCACCCAGGTGCCTCAGACTCATCTTAATTCCTGATGACTTGTATTTTCCTAAAACTTTCCTCAAAGTATGTGGTACGTGTCATGAAAACAAGAAATGTCAAAAATATGGAGGGATTGATGATACGTGTCTCCAGGTTCTGAATCGAAAGTCTACCTTCTAAGGTGGACTGCTGCCAGTTAGGTCTGATTAGCTAGGCTCAAATCATACTACCTCTAGTGTCAGGGGCACTTCTCCTAGTGCTATTAATGGCTTTTTTTGAATTACATCCATCATCTTATTTATTCTACACAACAATTCTAAGATTTAGACATTATTTTTATCCACATTTTAGAGATGAATAAACTGATGCTTAGCTGCTATAATGGGCCAAAGATAATATAGCTGGTAAATGGGGGTACAGGAATTTACACTCTGGAGAGGTTGTTTGATATCAAGTCAAGTTCTTTTTTCTCAAAGATGCCAATTCTTTTCAACCCATTTCAAAGGGCACTGGAATCCTGTGGTGCCTCAAGAGCCCCTGAGCCAAAAGAGGAGGGAGGGGAAGAAAGGCCCCTTTCTCTGGCTTCAACCAGCGCACATGTAATATACATAAATATATACATTATGTTTATATATTTATATAGTATCAGTATATAATTATGTAATATATATAACTACATAGATATATATATAGCACCCATTTAAATTTTGTGAGAAAAAGTTCCCAAACACTGTGGCATACCATGATGAGTCCTAATTCTGTTATGATCTACACTAGAAACTTCTTGAAGTCAGAGACCTCATCTTATCCTTTCTTTGGTCTCACAACAGTGTGGAACCTCCCTTGACCTGTGAGCCAGCCTTCGGACGAAGGAGCCCATGGAAATCCTTGCCCTGGCGATGCTCTGGGCTCCAGAACAGCTCTGTCTAAGCATCTCCCATGACCCCTGGCAGCCTTGCTGTCTGCTTCTCACTAAAGCCAATAAAATTATTCCCGGTACCTGCAGCCTGCTCGCTGTTACCACGACTCATTGAGTTCTCTCCCAAGAGGGAAGTGATGTCTTCTCCAAATATTTTAAGGCAATTTTCAATGAGAAATTGTACAAGAGAAATCTGTAACACAAAAAGACAAGAATGGGGTGCTCTTTCCATAGGGCATAGTTATAAATCACATTATGTATATAGACCTTGGATCTAAGAAAGAATGTGAAAGATTTCCCAGAAAAATTCAGAACTGATAAAAATACATAGAGACCAGGAGCGCCTGGGTGGCTCAATCGGTCAAGCGTCTGCCTTCAGCTCAGCTCATGATCCCAGGGTGATGCGATCAGCCCTACATCGGGCTCCCTGCTCAGCGGGAAGCCTGATTCTCCCTCTCCCACTCCCCCCGCTTGTGTTCCCTCTCTCGCTGTGTCTGCCTCTGTCAAGAAAATAAATATAATCTTAAAAAAAATAATAAAATAAAAAACAGAGACCAGAATTCTCTAAGAAATAACTTAGGAAGAGTGATACTTTTCCGTGTACTTTGGGTACACATTTTAAAATACTGCTAATCAGTAGGCTAAAGTTTTAATATGTGGCCTAGTTTAATAGCCAACATTTTGGTATCAGTGGTTACATCATTAAGCCTAGGATAATTTTGGGGGCCCCTCAGTTGAGCATCTGACTCTTGATTCTGGCTCAGATCACTATCTCATGATGGTGAGATCCAGCCCAACATGGAGCCAACTTTGGGCTCCGTGCTCAGCGGGGAATCGGCTTGGGCTTCTCCCTCTCCCTCTCCCTCTTCTTCTGCCCCTGACCCGCTCACGCTCTCTCTTTCCCTCTCTCAAATAAATACATATCAAAATATAAATAAAACAAGGATAATTTTCAAAGTAGCCTACCTTATTAAAGTTTACTTATTTTTTGTTTTTAAATTTTGTTTCCAGTTTTATTGAGCTGTAACTGATGTATAACATCTTATGAAACTTTATATAAAGTATGAACAAAAACTTAAGAAAACCATTTCTTAAATGAAGAAGTATCTAAAAGTTGGGAAGCAGAGATTTTGGTGGGGTTGTGAGGGAAAACCCACACAGCTGGAGAGAAAATGTATCTGTCTGTCTAACTTCAGTCCCTTCTCACGCATTGCTTTGCCTCATGCTGGCTCTCTCTGTGTGAGCTTGGGGAAGACCTGTCATCTTATTAGGATATTCTGGAATCTCTTGCTAGTTTCCATATGACGTAGCAGAGGTGAAATAGTAGCTGAGTACTTTTCTAGATGAGCCACAATTGGCAGAGGAAGGCCAATGTGTTTGGAGCCATGGGGGCTCATATTGCCCAAGCCACCCAGGATGTGCCAGTGATGACCGGAGGAGCTGGCTGTTGTCGCCATTGTGTAGTGAGGAAACCATGGCTTTGCCCAAGGTTACGAGTCCCTCAGGGATTAGGCTGAGAGTTGAACCTTGACCGGTGAAGCTCCAAAGCCCAGGTTCTTTCCTATCGTATCACACGACTCTTCTCTCTCTCGTTTAGTCAGTCTAGTGTTTAGTCTCCTGGAGGGTGAAGAAGTGACTCGACTGCTCCGAGTTTCCCGTTTAACGACACCCCTTCCCAGACCCCGCCAGAGTAGGATAAAGAACTCTGCCACTCCACAGGGGCCTAACGAAAATGTGCACTTCACAAAGTTCCATCCGTCAGAGTTACTACTGCACATGTCCGGTTCAAAGTAGGGATTCTACCCCTTGGGGGACAAAAATGAGAGCTCTCATTACCTTTTTTATCAAGTTGTCTTCCAATTCCAAGGTGCCGGAATCAGGTGGGTAAAGAACGCTTGGGGCTATACAAACGGATAAATTATAAGCTGTCATCTGATTGGATGAGGAATGTTGCTCAATGTTGTATAGCACTCCAAAAAGGTATCGCAAGAGAACAATATTTGCTCTTGGCAGCTGGGCTAAAAGCCTAAGGTCAGAAAAACACACTTTAAATTAGGTAAATGATTCCACTTAAGAGGTTGGAAAAACAGAGACAGGGAAAAGGATACATCCTTGTATATCTAGCACACAACCCCTCTCTAGCAGAGTTCCAGGCATGAATGTAGACAAAATTGTTGCACTGAATTTAGTTCCTGAGCCAGATAAACACTTCTCTGGTTAGTTAAATGTTTGACAGACTTTTAAGGTCATAGCCCTGGCAGTTGATGCTCTTGCATGTGTCTTGAACCAGGGAATTTCGTCTACAAGTTTCATGGATCCAGAAGGTGTCAAACGGCCAAGGAGTCCACATTAATAAGATCAGGAGAAGAACAATAATAGCCCTAAAGCGTGCCTCTATTCTGAAGCTGACCCCCATGGCTTTGAAGAATTGAAACTCTTTGACATTGGTCATGATTATAGTGGGCAAAGCTGCAAAACGTAAGCCAATGTTTTCCTAATAGTATGTTGGGTGTATTTTGGAGATGTGACCAGAGTAGAGTAATTATTGCATCATTACCTCCGCGCTGCAGTCATCTTCTCCTCTTCATTCCCTTGATCAATAACACCGAGCCATTTGTCATAGAGATCAGACAAAAATATACATCCTGGGATATTTCTTAGGAAATCCTTGTGGAGATAAAAATAAATATGTATATATATTACAGAAAATATGTATTGGAAATATTACAGAGAAAATATGTAGTTAAAAAATTCAGTTCAGCCCCCACTTCCTTCACAGAGACCCAAACTGGGACCCACACGGAGCTTGGCTCTGACTCTGCATTGACTTGCACACGCAGCATCAGGTGCTTGGGTATTCTCCCCCTAAATCTTAGAGGCATTAAAGCAGAGCTTAGGCTGTGGTAGAAATGAAGATAAAGCTCCCTTCTATCATCTGGAACTTATTTTCTTTGTGTGCTTTTTTTGCAAAGTACCACAAACTGACAGGGTCTGGCTATAGACCATCCTAAATCCTATTAGCTTCTTGGACAGAAATACGCTTACCCATGTTGCTTGTTTTAGACACAGTGCTAGCTCTTAACTCTAGCAAGAAAAGGCCTGAAACAATCGAAACAGAAACAGGTGGGCTCTTGCACACATATTAGGAAAGAACTAGGTGTTCTCACTCGGGGTATGTGTGCTCCCTGGAAGAAAGCTACTCGCACAATTGCTTCATTCTTCCTTTTCTTAACTGTCTAAAAGTCGAGAGTCTAATAGTAGACTCACTGAGGTCCTGAGGATAGATTCATTTCTAGATTAGGTCCATTCCCAGTTTTTTGACATGATATTATCAAGGCCAAAGTTGCAGAGTCTGTTTCTCCACCAAGATCCATCAACTTCAGGAAGAGAAAACTTTAGAAATGTCTAAGCACTATGCCCACGTGTGCATACCCTCTTCCTAGTCGGTGCTTATAACACCGAATCAGGAAGGAACCTCCTAACTCTTTTTTTTTTTTAATGATTTTTTTTTTAAAGATTTTATTTATTTATTTATTTAAAAGAGAGAGAGAGAGAAACAGCATGAGAGGGGATAGGGTCAGAGGGAGAATCAGGCTCCCTGCTGAGCCGGGAGCCCAATGTGGGACTCGATCCCAGGACTCCGGGATCATGACCTGAGCCGAAGGCAGTCGCTTAACCAACTGAGCCACCCAGACACCCGGAACCTCCTAACTCTTGCTAGAAAATCGATTCCATGTGCTCACCTTACAGAGGGCAACACTCATCTTGCTACGTAATGCTCAGCATTCTTCTCCTGTCTCCTGATGCCTATATGTATATTACTACTGGATATCACTATGACCGCAGTGTAGGAGTGGTTACCTAAGTCATTTCTGGACTTTGCTATTGATCACATCTTCGAACATTAACTGGGGACAAGGGAAGACCAAATGTGACTGAGATTCTAAGACTGTAGTCATTACTACGTTAACATAGGGTTGTTCAGAGCTGTTCATAAGTGCCAAGGTGGATGGATTAAATTCTTTCCCTGTTCTATTTCTTTTGGAAACTTTGCCTTCACTAGGAGGGTGGTGAGAATGTTTGCATGGGTAAACAGTGTGTATGTGTCAGTGCGTATTTTGAAATTTATTATCATGACTAGTAGTCATTTCAGTATTAGTATTTTGCATGGCGACTTCAGGAGTGAAGGCAGGGTAGGCGGTGTGTGGTGAAAACAGAAAGAATTTCTAACATATGGGGCTTTTAACTCCTAAAGTAGCTTCCTTATATTTTGATTTTGTCAAGCGTTTTTCAGCTTGTCAGGTTCTTAATCTATTATGCCCATTATGGTTCTTGAGCAGTCATGATGAAAGACACCAATCATAGCTTCAGTTACTCGTGTGTGGATAATGCTAGAACCTTCCCTACCTTTAAGATGGATGCGACCACATGAACAGATTCGCTGTACAGGTCCACTTTGACCCCAGAATTTACTTTCTCCTTTAGGACCCTGGTTGATTTTATATTGGGTGATTTGCTGAAGATGCATTCTGTGAGTGACCCTTTTTGATTAATAAAGGAAAGCATATCCTGTAGGAAGAAAAGAAAATTATATCGCATCTCATACCCCAAACGCAGAGCTCAAGCTTGCCTCCGTTTTGAAAGAGGAGGGGAATGCAATGGTACACTGTTTTTGAGCTGAAAGGACTAAAGTCAATTTAGATTGTTTTTTTTTTCAGTGTCTCTCTATATACTTTCTACCCATATATCCATTTTACAGTCATACACTGAAACATTTTAAACACTTCCTTTAAGCAGATTTTCCTTTCCATTGAGTTTCCACTCTTAAATCAAAATTCTCTGCTTCAAGGCCTTTGCACAATCACCGTCTGTTTCCTACTTTACCATTCTTTTCTCATTATTGCCTTACATAGATGCTCTCCCCCAAGTATGGAAGTCTATTTAGGAAATACACATTTCCCATTTGTTTATTTCTCTTTAAGTGAGTGTATACTCCATTCCTACTTGTTCTATTTCTTTCCCTCTTTTAAAGTCAGGCTCAGAAACTCTCTTCTCTTTCTCTGATTACCCTCCCTTCTCATGAGTCTTTCATTGTCTTTTGCTGTATCTTTATGTCCTCTCCCTGCTGTGTAGAATCTTAATAAGGGCTGGACTCAGGGAATAAAATGGATCTGAAGTCTATTATGCTACTTATCTATTGTGTGAGCTGGGGCACATACATACTGTACTGAGGCTTTTCCAATTCGTTTAAGAAGTGTGGAGGATGATAATCCTAGCTACCCTCTAAATTTGCTGTGATGCAAGGACCTGGGGTAGTAGCTAGCAGGTAACATGCTAGCTAAGATGATTCATTTCTTCATAGCTAGCAGAACGTTCCCTAC